CTCCCCTGACACAGAGAGAGGGCCTAGGAAATGATGCTGGAGAGAACAAAAGATCTAGAATACACATTTTCTTTTATTCAGCCAGTTTCTTCTTGTTTTATTTGAAAATATAGGGTCTTTTCCCAGATTTATATTATTGTCACTAAACCAATGGTCTCATCAAGCTAACCCATAAAAAATATTTGGGGTCTTTAATTGTCCAAGGGCTGGCAGGAAGCAAAGGTGAGTTACTTCCCCCCACTCCCCCCGCCTCCACTACAGGCCCCTGCCCTGCCCGATGATACACTGCACTTCACATTTCTTTTTTTTTTTTTTTTTTTCAACGTTTTATTTATTTTTGGGACAGAGAGAGACAGAGCATGAACGGGCAAGGGGCAGAGAGAGAGGGAGACACAGAATCGGAAACAGGCTCCAGGCTCTGAGCCATCAGCCCAGAGCCCGACGCGGGGCTCGAACTCACGGACCGTGAGATCGTGACCTGGTTGAAGTCGGACGCCTAACCGACTGCGCCACCCAGGCGCCCCTGCACTTCACATTTCATATGAGGCTGTGAACTTAACCTTGAGGACCTGTGCTCTGGGAGAGGGGAGATTCCATTTATATTTTATCCTGAGAGATATGTGCTGCCTACAAGTCTTGAAGTGACTTCAGGACCAGGACCACTATTTTTATTCCCCTGGTTTTCAAAGGGGGAGGTGAAGCTTCCTGATGCTTATTTATCTTCACAAGGGAATGCTGCAGCCAAGTTATACATCGGTCAGTTTTGGACAATGATGGAAGGAGATAGAACACTCTTACAAGCCAACAGTGCTAGCTCTCCCCTTTTCATTCTGCCCCTCGTACCTGAGGGTAACAGGTGTTCACACTTAGGAGTCTCCTGTCCTGGAAGGGCGTGCTAGAATCTCCTGGCGGGCCAAGAGGATGACAGGGAGAGGGTTGTGTAGTTTGGGCAGAAATCTGCTTACAGTAGTGACTTTCAGATGACCTTCCCTCCCCCTGAGAATCACCAAGCACTGGGACAATTCATTCCTTAATTCCTTCACACTCTCATTCATCCAGCAACTTTTTGGCCCACAGCACAGACACAGCTCCTTTTACTACCATGGTTTTGCACAGGCTGCTTAAAAGGGCTTCTATTTGGGGTGCCTGGGTGGCTCAGTCGGTTAAGTGTCTGACTTTGGCTCAGGCCGGCTTCAGCTCAGGTCACGATCTCACAGTTTGTGAGCTTGAGCCCAGCATTGGGGTCTGTGCTGATAGTATGAAGCCTGCTTTGGATTCTCTGTCTCCCTCTCTCTCTCTGCCCTTCCCTCTCTCATGCTCGTTGTCTCTCTCTCTCTCTCTCTCTCTCTCTCTCTTTTCTCTCTCTCTCAAAATAGATACATTTAAAAACAGGGAGGGGGCTGATGTTCATTCTTTAAAACCCAGAATCAAATGTCACCCTGTCAAATGTTTTCTGCTTCTTCCCTCTCACCTCCAAATGCCCTGAACAAAGCAGTTCTCTACTATGTTGATTATTCTAAATCTAAAATTGATTCATTTTTCCGCCTTTCTAGTCCTGCAGCCAGTGAACTCCTGGGGGGAAATGGATCACTCTGTCTTATTAGCCTCTGTATGCCCAGCCCCTCATCGGAGCCTAGCAGAAGGAGCTCAGTAGATATCACTCCGTGAGTGATTTAATGAAGCATTTTTCAGGGCAAACATTTTCTAAGTGTGATCAATTAAAATGCACGTGTCGGGGTGGGGAGCAAGGACTGACCGCTCACATGACAAACTCTGCTGAGCGAACTTGGCCCTGGGACTTCTTTAACCAGGTGCCAGGAGGATGTGCAGGGAGGTGCCATTGAGCAGGAGTAGCGGACACTGCAGTGCCCTGCCAGCAGCCCCTCAGCCCCTCCTACTGGTTCCGTGTGCCCACGTCACTCCTGAACTTTGCTCTCTCATCCCTGTGACCCTTTTCAGAGAACTGCCCTTGGGTTCCTGGAGCTGGCTGGGCAGCCGGGGCAGGGCACTGGGAGCGCCTGGGGACTCCCTCCAGAGTGACTGTCAGCACCTGACTGCTGCGGGTGGTTGTGAATGCTCAGCTCCCTCGCCTGAAGGGAAAATTCCAAGATTCAACTGGGTTCTAGAGCTTTCTGCAGGATCCGGATCAAGTTGGGGCTGGGAATTTGCCTGAAACTGACCTCTTACCGGCTTCCTCTCTCTTCTCCATCCTGTCCTTTCCTCCTCCCCACCTCCCTCACCAGCACTCCCTTAACAAATAAAGAGCTGCGGCTGGGGTGGGGACTTTCTTCTGTGCCTCAGCTTTGAGGTTTGTAAAATGGAGACTAAACTGTATCTATTTTTATTGTGAGGATTCAATGAAGTGATCCTTGTAAAACCCAACACAGAGCATGACACTTAGCAAGCATTTTAGCAACAGAACTCTCACGTTGTAGCTAGCACCCTGGCACCCCCCCCCCCCCCCCCCCCCCACAAAAAAGGCTGCATTTTCCACTTCCCACCCTAGTAGGTTGATGTAGCTGAGTAAGTCCAGGCCTGTTGGATTTGAGCAGAAGTGCTGAATGCCGCGTGCAGGTAATGTCCCTTGAAGGTAAGGGGGAATACTCCACTCGGGCTGGCTGGAATGTGGGGGTGACAGTGGGAATTGGCACAGCCAGCCTTGACAGTGAGGTAGAAGCAGCTCGCAGAACAAAGGGGCCCAGGACCTGGACACCCCTGAGCCACCCTACGGCCTGAAACCCCCTACTCAGTTACACAAGAGAGAAACTTCTGATTTACGACATTGTATTCGCATAGGGGCCTCTTTATAACAGGGGCCAAACCTGTGCCTTTACTTCTACGGTCACCTGGTGGAATGATTACTTGAGGAGAAAACTCTGAAATGTCTCCTAAAATAGCCCACTCTAGCACTGGAAAGAGGAGACTCTTGCTTACCTGCACCATTTCTCTCCCTTCCCTCACTTTGTCTCTCTTTTTGCGCGAAGATGGGATAAGAATAGGAAGGTATGGGGCGCCTGGGTGGCACAGTCGGTTAAGCGTCCGACTTCAGCCAGGTCACGATCTCGCGGTCCGTGAGTTCGAGCCCCGCGTCGGGCTCTGGGCTGATGGCTCGGAGCCTGGAGCCTGTTTCCGATTCTGTGTCTCCCTCTCTCTCTGCCCCTCCCCCGTTCATGCTCTGTCTCTCTCTGTCCCAAAAATAAATAAACGTTGAAACAAAAAAATTAAAAAAAAAAAAAAAAAAAAGAATAGGAAGGTATGTTATAAGAGAGAAAATCAAGGAATGACAGCTCTAAAGAGGAGGTAACTTCAAGTTTGCACTTGAGCTGGTAGAAATAAAGGGAAAGTAGACGGGGGTGGGTAGACCCTGCCCAGAAAACAATTGTACACACGTGCTAATTCTAGAACACTTCTCTGCTGCCCTTTCCCTCACTTCCAAAGCTCATCAACAGAAGCGGAATGAACCTGTCACCTTCCTCCCACAGAGCCCGTCTCTGATGCAATGGCAGTTGGAGACCCTGTTGCCGATGCTGCAACACTTTGTAATTTTGTATAAAAGTCATGTAGTGATTGCGGCAATTTTTCCAAAAGCGAAAATACTCAGAAGAGATTCGTTTACTTAATTAGGGAATGGACACCACTACTCAGTTCACGGTGTTTACTTGGTCCCTGCTACTGCCCAGGGGCAAGCTGGTGTCCTGAGGCATGGAATATGGACATTCTTTTTATTTAGAAGGGCCTGAGGCACAGGCAAGGAGGCATTAAGGAGGAAAGATGGCTTTCTGGCTTGGTCCACCCTCTAGGGCCAAGCTGTTCAACTTTAGCACTGCTGACATTTTGGATTGGGTAATTCTTTGCCGTAGGGGGCTGTCCTGTGCACTGCACGATGTTTAGCAGTCTCCCTGGCTTCTACCCAGTAGACACCACTAACACTACCACCTTCCCAGATGTGAAAACAGAAAATGTCTCCAGACGTCACCAAATGTCCACTGGGATGTAGGTGCAAACTCACCCCTTGTTCCCGACCACCGATCTAGGGTCTGGCTAGGGAGAAAGGAAGTTGTGTTTTTAGTTTGGTTTTTGTTTTCCCTAAAAACATCTCCAAACAGTTAGGACCGGGGAACAAACAATTATGGGCCCAACTGATAGAGCGAAGCTCAAAGGGTAGCAACCATTCTCTGATCTTTAACAGAAGTCCAAAACACAGACTATCCCCCAGAGACCACTTGGAGGCCTGCAAGCAAGGGCAGTGAACAGGCCTGAAAGGAAAGAGCAGCGGAAGAAGAAAAAAGCAGATGCCCGGGGCGCCTGGGTGGCGCAGTCGGTTAAGCGTCCGGCTTCAGCCAGGTCACGATCTCGCGCTCCGGGAGTTCGAGCCCCACGTCGGGCTCTGGGCTGATGGCTCGGAGCCTGGAGCCTGTTTCCGATTCTGTGTCTCCCTCTCTCTCTGCCCCTCCCCCGTTCATGCTCTGTCTCTCTCTGTCCCAAAAATAAATAAAAACTTTGAAAAAAAAAAAAGCAGATGCCTGATAGTACCTGATTTCAGTCAATAATGGCTCTCTCATTCCTTGTCTGCCAGTGACTGATCTATGGATGCCATATGATCCCGGGAAAGATATTCTTCCCTGACAATAGGTAGCTGGGGACAAAGACCCCTTTCTGCTCTTCTCTCCTCATCCCATCCAATGCAAGGATGGAATTGTGGAGCTGCAGCAGCCATTTTGCAACCAAGAGACAACAACCAGAGATCAGAGTCTATTGAAAACCTATGGAAAGAGTCCACGTGGTGATATGGCTGAGCCAATGAACCAACTTTAGGACCATCTACCTTTAAGCTTCTTGTCAAGTAAACAGTATATGTCCTATGACTTAAGCTAGGGTTAGCTGGGTTTTCTGTCATTTACAACCAAAGACATTACTAATCAATGGAAATGTTTTCAACTAAAATTAATAGCATACCCGACTAAAAATAATAATAATAAAGGCAGAAGGTATTTTCTCACCTAACAGGAGGTCCTGAGGTAGGTAGCTGGTCTGGTGGCTGTGCAATGTCAGAGTCCTGAGTTGACTTCTATGTGACTCTCCTGGCCTTTCTGTCATGGTCACAATATTCCTGACACAGCTCCAAATGTCATGTCCACATTCAAACTGTGTTTAAGACAAGAAAGAAAGAGGCTTATCCCTCTCTTTTTATCAGGAGAAAAAAAAAATCCCCCTCAAACTCCTAGTAAACTATCCCATGGTCTAATTGACCCAAACCGGACCACATACAAAGATGATCTGGGAGAGTGAGCATTTGGCATTTTAAGTCTCTGTCATGGGAGGTGGGTTCTTCCAGAAAGGTCTCTTCCAGAGAAGGATTGTTGGGTCAGCAGACAACAGCTCTGCCACAAAATAATTGCTCATGTTATATACCCTATGATCAGAATGTATTTCCCTGTTGAGGCTTCTTGTCCCATTGCATCCCTAACTGTCCTCAAAGTGGGTTGACCCAACTTCCACATAACAGCAGAAGAGAGAACTAGAGCCAATCAGTTCAGTTCTGATGGTCTTTCTCCCTGACACGTGGTATTGCATTGAAGACCATTGCCCTGACAACAGCACTGCCCAGCTCTGCTGAGAAGCCCCATTGCCATCTGGGAAGCCTGTCCAGGATGCACTGGTTCTCTTAGGGGGGACAATAACATACCTTAAGCACTAAGCCAACCAAAGGTGCTCCAGTCGCTGCTCCCTAGGTCAGCTCCACATGCTTGACCTCCTCCCAGGCCCGGAGTTGGTTCCAGGTTAAGCTGGCACACAGGGCCGCATGTCCCCTTCCTCTAAATGAACTCTCCTGGGGCACCTGGGTGGTTCAGTTGGTGAAGCATCTGACTCTTGATTTTGGCTCACGTCATGATCTCAGTGTCATGAGATCGAGCCCTGCATCGGGCTCCTCGCTGACCGTAGAACATGCTTAAGATTCTCTCTCTCTGCCTCTGCCCCTGCCCCTCCTCTGCTCATGTGCCCTGAAGGAAAGAATAAAACATGCTCAATCTCTAGCAGGGCCTCCCCTCTGATACAATCCACTGATACATAAACAAATATGGCTCCAGAATGTAATCCTGGCCAGAGGTACCCCCTCTACAAAGGCACCTGCTACATCAGATCACAGCCCCCCTGTAGATTTCCTGTAGGTCTGGCCTGTATCCTCCTGTGTAGTTCTCTTTCCTGCCCTGCCCTGGAGTCCAGAACAGCCTTCTGATCCATTCAAGACTGGCCCTTCTGAAAACTGAGGCATTGAGTGTGCTCTCACTCCCCTGCTGGGACATCTGGAAGCTTGTGTTTGTTTTCAGAAACTGCTGCCTGATAGCTTTTTCATTGACAATGGGGACCAATTTGACATTATACATAATCTTGGATTACTGACTTGGTTAATATTTCATGATGTCTATTAGTCTTTACATTTATAGAAACATGGGCCATAAAAAATTAAAGCTTTAATTGCTTTGCTTTGGGTTTCCTTTTTTTTTTTTTTAAGTTTATTTACTTATCTTGAGAGAGAAAGAGAGAGAGAGAAAGCAAGAGTGGGAGACGGGCAGAGAGACAGGGAGAGAGAATCCTGAGCAGGCCCTATGCTGTCGGTGCAGAGCCCAACACGGGGCTGGATCTCACGAACTGTGAGATCATGACCTGAGCTGAAACCAAGAGTCAGACGCTCAACTGACTGAGCCACCCAGGCGCCCTCCCTTTTTTTTTTTTTTTTTTTTCTTTTTAATTTTTTATGGTTGAGAATTTTTCTCTTGGCTGAGCTGTCTTCCCAATTTGGGACCCGAGTTACTCAAAAAAATCGGGGAGTTTGGGGATACAGTCTGAGGACAGGCAGCGGTGACGCTCTAGAGTAAAGGGATGATTCAACATCCTGTTTTTCTCTTGCCACAAGGACAATTGCACACCAGGAAACCAAGGTTGAATCCGTCATTGTGGAATTTCAGACCTGAGGACAGCCCAACACTAGAGACCATGAAAAAGGACCCTCGGATAGCCTGGCCCTGTGCACTGGCTCCTGGGGCCAGGATCCTTTGGGTTCTTCTGCATTGATCAGGCATTTCAGATGTCTTAAGGCCACAGGCCTCAAACGTACAAGACATGGAGTAGCCTAACAGGTTAGTGCAGCCCCTGGGAGTCACCTGGGGGACTCACCTTTGCAGCTGGGCTTCCTGGGCCAACAGATTCAGGGCTTGCTCAGTGCCGCTGTTGTCTTGAGAAATAAATATTTGGTCTTTGATGTTTTGTACCTCTATCATGTATGTAACTGCGCCTCTTTATTTGGGGGGCTGGGGTGTGCCTGTATTTGACTTGGCCATTTCAAACAAATTAACTTCATTCTCTTGGCTTGGTCTCCCTGCGGGTGAACTGTCATATGAGATTGGCAATTGTGAGGATTTGCAAAGTGGAGGCTTTGGTTTCGTTTTCTGAAACCATGGACCTGGGAGGTGGGGGTGGGGGGCCGGAGGCTGCTGTTCAGGGAAGAAGAGGTACATTCTGCCCTGGTAGAAAAGCCCGGAAATCGGCCTCAAAGGCTAAGTGACCGGAAGCATAGATGTGTGAGGCAGAAGGCATGTGTTTGTGTACGTGGCAGAGAGATGTGTGACCTTCTATCCTAATAGAACAACTTTCCCAAGGAAATCACCCAATCTCTAAAGTAATTGCTAATTAGACAAAAGCGCAGTATTCTCCAAAGCCTACTTGAATTACAGCTGTGACATAATAGATTCTTAGGGGAAAACAATTGTTTTATGTCCCTTCAATTTAAACTATGGAAATTACTTCATTGAAAAGAGAACATTTCTTCTTAACGTCTAAATTAAGCAAAGCTTTACCAAACCAGATTTACAGCGAGATAATACTTTTAACCGTGTAACATATAAGACCCATCATGGGTTGTCACAGATTTAGGACACCAGCCATCCAGTGCTGTGAAAGTTTCTGCGAGGACAGTACAGCATATGGAGCCTAAGCAAACCAGACATTTCGTCTCAAGGATTAATGTCTTTTTAAGCCCCATCAGATTTGCACGACATGCTCAAATTTAACTGCTTTTCTATGTTAGCGTTTAGTATTCCATAAAACTCAAAAACCCCGGCTACACCTAATACAGGCAGCTTATGTCAGTATGCCACCCTAAAAAATACCATTATTTACTTTCATGATGTCTGGGACATCCTTTCATGTGAAAAAGAAGTGGAAACACAGCTTTAGAACATCAGCATCTCACTTCTCGGTTAGTTCGATTTCTCTCATCCGTTGAACTCCTCGAGGTATGCAAAGCAAGTCGATCCTTTAAATGGGCTCTACGCAGGAATTTGCTGGAATCGTGGGGAGCCAAACACGGCAACGTTACTTATTGTGAAAATGAGGGAGACAAGCAGAAGAAAACACATTTTGGATTATTGAAGAGCTGAATTTTGCTCCCACCAGGCAGCATGCTATTGCACCGGATTTTGTTATTGTAACACAGATGGGTCTCTGAAACATTTTTTTAATAGAACATTTATAGAACAGGAGACCAGAGACAGTCTCTGCCACGGAACGGGGAGTTAGGCAAATGGTCGGCCTTGCATAATTGCTGGGGCCTAGCTATGGCCTCCCAGGAACATTATCAAGAGAAGTGAGGGAACACAGACGTGGCACTTGCAAAACCAGATCAAGATAGCTGTCCCCTTATGTGCACTGAGTACTGTGGTGAGCACACCTGTGGAAGGCTGGGGGCGTGGGCCTGTCAGCGAGGATGACTGAGGAAGAGGGCTGGCCACGCCCTGGGGACTCAGGCCATGGGTGCAAAGGGACAAACACACTGCTTTAGAAGGAGATGCAAAGCCTTCAAATCCAAGATGATATAGTAAACAACCACCACCACCAAGCTGGCCACAGCTGCAAGTTTCAACAGATCCACAAACCAAAGGACATCGGTATGTTCAACTTACTTCCTCTTTCTACTTTCCTTTTAATGCTCACAGGATGCGGGCCCTGGTCGACAAGGGTACAAACAGACCCTCTTCTATCTCTTCTGGTGGATCTTCAGCCCTGATGGGATTCCCAAGACAAACCTCCAGTGCTCAAAATGAGAGCCACCCGGGGCATCCGGGTGGCTCAGTCGGTTAAGCATCCGGCTTTGGCTCGAGTCATGATCTCACAGTTCGTGAGTTCAACCGCCACATTGAACAGAGCGCTCTCTGTTGTCAGCATAGAGCTTGCTTCCGATCCTCTGTCTCCCTCTCTGTCTGTCCCTATCCCGCTCACGTGCTCGCTCTCTCTCAAAACTAAATACACATTAAAAAAAAAAAAAAAATGAGAGCGAGCCATTTAGAAGAGTAACTCCATCTTCACTGTTATCTGGAAATACTGCGTCGAGGGTTAAGTGAACAACACACAAATACACGCTCGCACCCAGAAAAGACAAGACTGAGCTAGGTCAACTAGTTATTCTACAAGTGCTTATCAGCAGAAGGCCAAAAACAACAGCAAAGAAAATGATTTTACTCCTGGAGCTGGTGAAGTGAAGTCTCCCTACTGTTTGAGTTTCCAATGTGTGGACTCACAGAAGTGGTCATGTTTCCATACTCTTACTGAACCTTACGTGAGTCTTCCCCCACGGTTCTTTTCTTCAGTATCGGTGTTTGTACTGCCAAGTGATTCACTTAGAAGATCATGAAATTTCACAGGAACAGGCAGAAGTTCACTCAGAAACACATTCACAGCGTGTCTGTAGCACAAACAGCAAGAGAACGTCGGCATCCGCCGAGAAAGGGAAACAAAAACCAGGCCACTTACTTTCCATGAATCCTTTTGGACTCTATGTCTCCATGGCTTCCGAAAAGTCAGGCCCAAAAGGCCAAAATCGTTTCTGCAAAGGGGCTGAGGATGGTTTGTTGCGCTGAGGGAAGACACAGGAAGCCTGTGCTGAGGAACCCACCCACGTCACACCAGCAAGCGGGGGACCTCGCTCCCGGGGCCCTTTGGCTGTGCCGAGGAGGACCGCCCTTTGCAGCCATGCTCAGCGGACTCGAGGCTACAGCAGGATGAAGAACCCCTTAAAAATGTTAACTCTTCTGTGGTTGAAGAATCTGGGCTCAGGTCAGCTGGTATGGCCAAGGTCATGACTGCACAAG